TGGCCCCTGTCCCGTCCCGTGCAGCCACCTGGGCCAGCAGCCCCGAGGTTGTGGTCCCACCCGACCCCTCCGCTGCTCGGGGACCACCAGTGGGAGGAGGCAACTGTGAGCCTGGGGGACCCCAGACCCACGGCCGGGGCTGCAGCAGGGGGAGCACGGCCAAACCCAGGGACTGACCCTCACTGCCCGGGAGGAGCAGCCCCCCAAGCCCCTCAAGGGGGACACAGTCACCCCGGGGCACTCAAGACCCCAGGCGTCACCTGGGACTGGAGGTCTCCCCTCTGGGTGGGTGACACTAAGGAGCTGCCTGCACCAGCTGCATGGCTTAGAAGTCTCTGCTGTTAGAGAGCACAGCCCTTTTCTTATCTCCGAGGGGTAAATAAAGGCAGAAAATCCCTTCAGCCTCCCCTTCCATGCCTGCAGGTGCCTCCTTGCTCGCTCTTGAGCAACTTCCCATCAGGGTGGGAACAGCTTCATTCTTATCTCATGTGAACTTTGGAGCTTTCGAGTAGCTTTTGCATCACTGGGGGGGACTCCTTTGCCACAGCCCATCTGTCTGCTCTGGTGTTACCATCAATGGAGAAGGATGCAGCCTGAGATGGCCCTGGAGCAGGGAGACAGGGGAATCACACCCTGACAGGCCATCAACAGCAAAAATCAGCAGAATCCACTGTGCATCATTAATATATATAATTTATTGATGAATTATACAACTGTGACCCTTTCACTGCCACCTCATCCAGTGAGGGGGGAAAAGGCTTGAGCAGAGCTGTGTTCTCATGGGGGGAGCAGAGTGTGAGCTGAGGTGTCCAGGGGGCAGGAGGTCTCAGGGGGCCCAGACCCACCAAGACCAGATGTGGGAGTGCCCTATAGCCAGGACCCCTCGTTTGCCTGTGCTGACCCTTCCTGGCTCCTGGGAAATGGATGACGCTTTGGAGGAGGATTCAGGAGGTCCAGCTTTTGTGTCAGTCCCTGTGTGTCCCTGGGTGAGAGGTGTATGAGATGGAGGTCAATGCCTCCTGCCTGCTGCCAGCCTGTTCTTCTGGGTCCATCCTTCGCAGGGCTGTGCTCAGCCCCTAGCTCAGGGGAGGGAGCTGTGCTGAGCCCTTGCCTGATGCTGCCCATGTGGAGCTGCCAGCTGGGGCTCTGGACACTGGGTAACACACTCACTTGGCTGAGTTGTAATAGGAATAGTTTTAGTAGAAATATAATATAAATCTTGAGAGAAATGCCTAAACCCCAGGGCAGATGGAAAATCCCTATGGTGTGGATGCTCTGGTGGCTGGACACTAGAGCAGCAGTGTCCTGGGAGCCCAGAGATCCTGGTGATTCCCATGGCTGGCAAAGCAACATCACTGTGGGCCTGTGTCATGGCAGGGAGCAATGCTGCCGTGCTCCAGCCCTGCCAAGCAGCACCAACCCTCGGCTGTCCTGGGCACCACAGCTGCCAGCGCTACAGCTCCTGGATAAACACAGTGTGGGGCACCCACCATCCCAACATGCCTGGTGGCCTTTCCCACGTGGAGCACTGTGGCCATGCAGTCCTGCAGAACTGCCAAGTCCCAGGCACCCCACTCCTGCCCTGGCCCAGCCAGGGCTTCACCGATCCATAGCACGTAGGCCTCAGAAACGCCCTGGTCTCTGCGATGGTCGTGGAATGGGTGGCTGGTCCTTGGGGGCACTTTTGGGCAGAGATGTGCCCCTTCCTGGCAGAGGTTGAGGTGGTCTCAGTTGCAGCCACACTCCTCGATGATCATGTCCTCGTGGTGGCGGACGACAATCTCACCCTTCTCGTAGTAGAGCATGGAGAGGGGACTCATGCTCACTGGAGAGCAGGCAGGACACGGCACCTTGTTGGGCTTGTAGAGCTGCAGCAAACTCTGTGGGAGACATGGGAATGGCAGAACATCCCCCCTGTTGCAGGCAGGGGCCTGGGGGGCACAGGGAACGTGGGGCAGCAAATCCTCTTACCTGTATGTATGCGTGGTTGGTGGGCTGGAAGGTCTCGTCCACAGGCGACGGGCACAGCCCTTCGCAGCGGTAGGCGTTGTACTTCTTGGGGTAGACGATCCAGCTGCCCCAGCCTGTCTGCTCAAAGTCCACCACCATGTCCACCCGCCTGCACAGGGCCCTGCCCTTCTCCCATGGGACAGCGGCAACAGCGTCACTCGCTTTGATCCTTTGCTTCTCTGTCCTGTTCCTACGGTGCCGGCGGGTCCCTGTGCCCTGGGAGCCGCTGTCCCGCATGATATACTTGGAGTTCTCTGCTGTCCTGATGAGGCTGTGGTCTCCTGGAGACTTGTCCTTGGAGAAGACGAGCAGCAGAACTCTGTCTGCCACGTCCTGGGGCAGGGCTGGCTCCCTGTGGCTGG